CACACGTTCGAATTAAAAAAAAAATACAGTTAATAGGAATCATCTTCGGATTTGTTTATATTAAATCGGTTGAATACAAATTATACAGTAGGTAGTTTTCAGCTAAATTATGAAACCGATACTAATAAATCAAACAGATTTAAGAGTAGAACGAAAAAAAAACGGTGAAGAAATAAATCTACGAGTCTATTTGAACACGAGATGGGTCTATTTAATTTTAATTTATTAATTGCAGGTAGTTATTATATGAAGACAGCGACGAAACCTTAGGTGTTAGGAAAAACTAATAAAATGTAATTATAGCCCCAAGAAATTTAAACAAGAGAGACACCTAGGATAGGTGTAATTAATTGTGAATAAAGTCTTAAATTAATACACATAAACTCAACCCACACAAAAAACCAAATTAAAATTCGGCTTTTGTCGTCCATGCATTACAATATTACATCGACTAAACTGGATTGGAGAAAAAAAATAGAATTCACGTGTGTGAATTCATGTGTGAAGCTGTTTTGGAAATAAAATTTTTGTCCGAAAATATCATGTGAGTAATAATAATATGTAGGAAGAATGTATGGGTGTCCTACTGACACCTAAATGTGTAAATAGATGACGGTTTTGCAAAAGTTACAACAATTTAATGTAATTATGTATCTGATTTTATGATGTTCGTGTTTTACTAAAATGAGATTCGCCATGCATAAACATATATATTTCAGCAGGGAAGATACACGACGCATGGTATGAACATAAAAGCTATAGTGTTATAAATGTTATAATGGTTTAAGTGTCACATTGAACCAAAAAAAAAATCGTCTAGAAAATGAGAGACACTACTGCACTCGTACATATACCTACAACATAAATATTTGTGTATACAATATTTAGTTGTTATTATTATTGTTATATATATATTATATATGTAGTATATGTACCACGTTGGTATTTATGAGGTTGTAACTTTCTTTATAAAGACACATATTATATTACAGATGGTTCGGTGGAAAAAAAATATATTATTTCCATTTAAGTCACTCATCCTAAACAGAAATAGAAAAAAATTTAGAATATTCGCTATATAATAGTTGTAACACGACGACTTCACAAAAAACAACTTTATGGTATTGTGCGATATAAACAATAGCGAGCGCGATATATTATTATGACCATTAGTACAATTTATTTCAAATCGGTCGAACGAAAAAGAAAAATACAAAAATGGGCGTATAATTAGATTGACAATATTGCACGTTATATTTTAAATGAAAGAAAAAATAGACAGAACGATTTTTGTCGGTCATAAACGCAGACTGTTACCGAGTGTATACGAGTACGCCCTGTCATGCACGCGCCGAAAAAATAATTAACTAGGTAGAATAGGTAGATACTATGTTTTCCCGGGATGATGTCCGTGACGTAAAAATTCCGAATATATAATACGTATTCGCTAATAACATTACTTCCATGCCAAACCAATAATTGTGTACCAACCAGATAAGTTCGGAAGACAATCACTCATTATATTCGACGCCCGTTAGACAATAATTATTTTGTACCGTTACCGTGTCAAAAGTTATTTTATACTCAGACACATAGTAATTGATACAATGCGGTTCAAATGGTTGTCATCATTTTCGGTAAGTACCAACAAGACACGAATGCTTCACGTCCAATTCAAGTATATAGATACAACGTCACGGTCAACGGTGAATCCCGAATTGGCGACCACCTGGGACTCTTAACAATGTCTGACAGCCGGCAAATTAATTTACGAGTGAAAAAAAAATGAGAAACATTTTTATACAATATTTTCGAATGATTTGACCAAAGCAGTCAAGTTTAAACAGCAGCAGTTTGTAAATAATTAGATGCAAAATTGGAAATTAATTATAAATAATTTCGCAGTTTCAGTGTACATAACATTGTTGTAAGGTGAAAATAATGTGAACATCAAAAACGTATAAAATTTAAACGAGTACACGACTAGTGTAATTATTACAAAAAACCTGTTTTGATTTTCCGTAATTAGATCAAATTTTTATCTAAAAAAAATTACATGATTCTTAAATTTTTTAATTTGTAACGTAGGAGACTGGATAATCAACAGGTGAATATGAAGCGTAGGTATTTATTTAAATTACCATTTAAAATTATGTTTAAAATATCATATAGACATATAGTATAATATGAGCATTAACTATAGAATACATAATAATATGTTAAAACTTGTTCATCGATTTTTCTGGTCGTAAAATTAGATAATGTACAGTTTAAGTAAATCTATTGAAAATAATAACTAGAATTAAGTACTTTGTTGGCATACATCGTATACAATTTTCGAAACAATATAGTTAACGTAATCAAATAATTGACACAACATTAAATATGTAAAATTAGAAACCCAAAATGAGAACAGATAAAAACTATATAAATTAGTAGAAAACGGGTCTCTATAATAAAGACAATGAAACAGTAATGAAAATACATGTATACCTAGACTGTAGACGAATTGAAAGTTTAAGCCTGAAAACGTGACTTTGGCCAAATAATATTCACTTCAGCTTTTTGTAGGTAGTTATTTGCGATTTAATTAACAACCTTCGTCTAAGTAATATTGCAAAACTTTATTCATACTTAATTCTTTACAGGTCGGCGATGCATGATAAAAATATATACTGTAATACAATTTTTTGTAGGAAATCATCTTACGAAAAATCTATAAATCGCAGTAATATTGCGTTAATTGTAGATACTACGAGTTTCATAGACATGCCGTTCCAAATAAAACCACTGACCGTGAAGTATGCATATAGCATCACATAATATAATACTATAGGTACTATGTACAATATATACTACATAACGTATGCAGTTTTATGTAACTATATTAAAACATTCCTGAATAAGTTAAAAGCATAAACCGCTAAACCTCACAGAATGATTATTATTGCAAACAGATGGACCGACGCTATTATTATAAGTAATATGCCCATTTAATAAAACGTATATTTTGAAGTAGTAACTATAATAACTAATAAACCAAATAAACTGTAGTTAAAGCAAGGTACCTATACCGCTTTCAAAATAAACACAGATTTCAATACTCATTTCATAATCATGGAAACAAAATTGTAGCATTAAACTAAACGTTTGAAATATTATTATAATACAACCACAGTGTCATATGAAAAGAACATTAAATAACTGCTTTAATACATTGATTCTTAATTCTAATGACAGTTATTAAAAAATAAAACATTTCTCTGTAATTTTGCAATTATTATTTCTGAAAATAAAACACAAAGAGTATCCAATCACGTCGTTCTATAACGTTGTTAGTAACATTGAGTTATTTAATCTATATATTTTTAATACAGATTATAACGAATTATAAATTAGTGCAAGATATTATATAATTTTATATGCATGGTTTTTTTTTTTAATTTGAAAATTTGGACTATTGGTTTTAATTTATTATAACTCATGCGATTTGACGCATTTGACGATTTGATCATGACGATTTTGAAAAAAAAACCTTTACTACCAAATAATTGTTTAGTAGCTAATTTTATTGCTGATATATTTTTTACATTGTTTGAGTGAGAAGTAGGCAACATTTTTTTCAAAAAATGGGGAATTATTTTGTTAATAAATGAAAAACTTCAGATTAAATTTAAAAAAAGTGATTGACAAGGACTAACACAGTGGGACGTCCTGTATTTTAAAATCAATATATTAGCTCTGTATTGTAATCAAATATTAAAACAAATACTTTTACAGTAACTTATTTATTATGATATTAAAATTATGTAGTTACATACAATGTACAATGTATAATTATGATATGCAATATCGAAAATATTTTTATAGTGTCAACTAAAAGATAATTTATTGAACCCAATTAAAAATTATAAAAATCATAAAAATTTATTGAAATTAAAAAATACAAGTAAGTACCAAATCTATAAGAATTACAAAGAAAAATAGATTTACTTTTATATCCAGCATAATCATAATATGCTAATTATATTATATATATTATTCCCAATAACTTAGATTTTATAGTATATTTAACAAAATATACTTGTATGTTGTGATGGCAAGTAAAAAATATAGTTATACGTCAAAAGTAGTAATTCCAGACCCATTCATGTTTTTCACTATCTACAACAAGATCTAAAATACGCTATATATAATATGTAATCAATTACTATTAAAATACCCGTTATTTGTTAAAAATAATGAGACAAAATTAAAATTCTAAACATTTGCATTTGGATGTCTATGAAGTTTACAAGATTACATCTTAATGGAAAATGCCACTAATTAGATCCTGAAATTTTACGTTATATAATAAGTTACAACCCTGGATGTATGTGAATATATCCATTAGAGTAATTTCCATAAGTGAAAAACTAAAGGTGAAATTCCCAACACAATATAATATATACATATGAGTTATAACAACAATACAATAATGTATAGGTACTACACATTTGCATATAGGCTCCATAGCTTCATATAATTTACCAGCTATATTTAAACAGTCATTCGAAAAGTTTAGAAATGTTTAATACCGTTAACTAAGTTTGTAAACTTTTCGAGCCACACGACCAAATAATAATTTATACGGAAAAACCTAATGGGCAACTTCTACAGTTTTCAAAGTAGAAAAGGGTTTCTAAACACCTGAAACGATTTAACGTGTTGTACGTTTTACCTCTTCATGAAGTGATGTAAGGATTTAGTTCAAACCCATATTTTTGGAGAAAGCTAATTGTTTTTTATCATCATTATCATTACCGATCAAAACTTTGTAATTAGTATTTGCGGTGCCGGTCACCAAAACTACAGCAACGACAATTTCACCAATAACAAACTTTACAAACGTCGGAAACTCAAAATGTATTCATATTATTCTTTTATGTATAATTTACAATAAAAATATTAGATTATATATATGCCTACAAATACGTTACATATTATTCGTAAGTAGGTACCTTATATCCGCCACACTTGTGACAAGCGATCACGTCTCCGTTGTGTTTGACGGCGGATTTGTGCACGCCGCCACTACCGAAATTGCTGTAGTACGTCATCGTACGACATTTGGGACGGCATAAAACAAAAAAACCGAAATCGATTAGTCAATCCGTTTAATGCACATGCATCTATTTTAAACACTTATTGTAACACCTATCGTATACAACGTACGTAGGTATATATCGATATACTGGTCATTCGCGCCGAAATGAAGATGCGACTGGGCCAATGCGGCCAATATAATATCACCCAACAATTTACGATTCGTAATAATTATGAAAATAAAATATACGTTGGCGGTACACGGAACACCTGACCCGGTGGCGCGGTTCAGTCGAATATAATATTATACGACACGACTCGTGCGTTTGTCATTCGGAAGACGATCGCGGGCGGTGACTTTTCGCGGACGCGGCGACCAACACGCTCGCCGTCGGACTGCGGACTGAACGGAGTCCGCCGCCGCCTGATTCTCGCGCGCGTTTTACGGTCCGGAGACCGCGACGGCACAGTAATAATACATACAAATATTTACGTATAAAATGTAGGTATATAATACTATACAATGTATATATCACAGCCATAGGCGTGTGCCGATTTTTATCGCAAGATACAGAAATACCTTCTCAGTTATAACAATTAAATGAATATGTGTGTGTGTCAGTGCGCATATGTATATAAAACAAAGTGTTCGGGAACGCGTTTATATACATTTTGGATAAATGTAAGGTGAATATAAGACTGGAATTCATATGTGCCTAATACCTATGTGTATAAAAATAATAAATACTAAGACAGGGTGTTCGACTATGTTTTTTGTTCAATAGGTAACTCTTTTTTTGTATATATTTTTATAGAACACAAAATCATAATTAACAAACTAGGTAAATCAAAATTTAAACCGAGTTAAAACAAAAATATTTTTCCTACCAAGACAATATTTATCAGTCAAAGATGTTCAAGTAGGTACCTACGTATATTTTTATACGACTAAAAAATAAATAACCACTGTGTCCTAAAAGTTGAAATAATATTATGTCGAATGCATTAAAAAAATTTATTACGATTTCATAAAACCATTGAGGATTCGTAACTGACCTTAAATTAATAATGGATGTAAAGGTACTTACAAAGTTACAAAACGAGCAAACGACTATGTTATAAACATTCCTCTGTTGTGTTTTTCATAAGTAAATATAATGTGTACAATCGAATTGAACTTATTTTATCCAAGGAAAAGAAATTATCAAACCGAAATGCGAGACCATTACTTTGGACTGCAAAATCATTACTGCTGATGTAGTGCTGATATACAATCTCCGTTTGACGAATGGATTTTAGACCAAAATGCTCCATTTCGTCAGAGAGAGTCGGACAGTCAGCACATAGAATAAATATACCAATACAGTACATAATAACTACTAAGCCGTATGTTTGTAGGGCAACAAAAACACGGATTTGTCAAAGTCCAAAATACTTTTATGCTTGACGTAAATAATATGATGTTTTTCTGCAGCCAAGGTTCATTTACCAATACCAGGTTTGATTTTGAAGGGTATTTTTAGTTAAAAGTTTGATAGATAATAACTAATGACGCGAACAACAACGCGACGGTCTGTTCTATAATACACAATTCTAATTTACAGTTAGGTTAGTTGGTCAGTGTACTATATGATAGGCACTTACTGTACTTTTGTATACTGAAGTTTAGCACGCGACATTATTTCACAGTAATCATAAACAATACGACGAATTAGACAAATATGAAAAATAAATATATTTATTTCGTTAGACTATATAATGAATAGTTCTATAACGTAGTTGCAAAAAGAGTTTATGACCGCTGCGAGGAAAATAAAAGCTTTGAATAAACCTAATCTAATCCTTTCTATTTTGTTAATAAGGATACTCTTTTGGAAAAAATTAAAATAGTTGGGAAAAAATTCAAATTGTGTGGTGAAATTGCCCTTCCACGAGCACGTTTACGACGTTGTCTGCGTATGTATAACTTTAGACAAACGAAATAACTTCAAATCACGTTTACCTACATAAGAGATAAAAATAATACGTATAAAACAACTGTAGATGTACGTATTATAATATGTATTATATCATATTCAAGTGTACCATATTTTAGTATAATGTATACAAATTTTTTACAGAGTATAAAAAACAGAAAAAAATCAAATACATATACAGCAATATTTTTGTTACTTTTTGTATAATATGATATGCACATAATACAGTTAAATGTGTTATTGTGGTGGTCGTACGATAATGATACGTCGAAAAAAACAACGAAAAGCAATAACGTCACACATAACAATAAACAGTTACTGTTATTGGAGCGACGAGTATACACGATATATTATATAATAATACATATGATAACTCGTATCAGCTTTCGCGAACGCCTCCAACGCACGACGTAGCCGGATATCACCATCACTATACTTATTATATTTTACGATTACCAATGTTCATATTTGATACGTCTAGTCATACTGTATAGACCTAATAAGAGGGTGTTTATTATAAATAATGTTTTTGTCGTTTTTTATTTCACAATTGTGATCATCCAAATATGTAATCGACAGAAATCATAACAAGTAAAAACTGTTAATAGTACGACTGTACAAGTAAAATGGGATGATTTTCAGAGATTTTCTCCCCATTTTATAATGCATATGAAGTATATAGGTACAATAGGTACCTAAAGCTAGCATATACCAGTACATAAACCCACCCAATACAAAATATTATAATGTTATAGTGACATAATCATGATTAAACATTATTATAGTGGTAGTAGACTAAATAGGATTTGGAAAAAATACTATAGTACATCTATATTACATACCCACTTGTTATTTTATGTAATATTTAAAAGCGTAATTTGATGTTACATTTGGTGTACACTCAAAATTGAGTGAACGTTAAGTGTTTAAGTGCACTCTTAAAACAATATTGAATTTTAACAAAGTCATAGCATTATATCCAATGTATGAATCGAATGCATGTAGTATACATTATATTTATTGAATTAAGTAGGTACCTGTAAAATACTTATAATTATAAAACTATACCCATCTATTATACTAATGACTAGGAACAAAAATAAATAACTACATTATTCTCGCTATTCTCGAGCGCACATTTTTCGATTTAATATTATATCTTTATATAGACTCGAAAGATGTGGATAATATTTCACTTGGAGATGATTTGAACAAGACATAATTCAACACACTCGTATGTATTTAAAAACGCAGTCCTACATAATATAACGGCGTATATACTATATTTCAGTCAACCAGAATCAGAGGAATAAGTACCTATACTAAAATCTAAAATCAGAAAAAATAGCTAAAATTTTTTTTATGGCTACTCGTTTGTCCTAGTACTAAAAATACCTGATTTTACAGTTTACACTCCTTATAACGTACCTACACTATACTATTTTTACAGATATGTTTAGTACCCACTATAGTTGTTGCACATTCCATCAATAATAAAAGCACCTAAAAACGTTTAAAAAAATACCAAACCTAATTTTTTTATTATGTGTTGTATTAAAAAAAAAATGTCTTAACGATATTATTATAAAACTAGTCTTGCCCATAAAAGTATTTAAGGTATAAGGATAATGTTTTAATACATTTAAATGTATTATAAGCACATACGTACTAAGGTATACGTTATGCAATATGCAATATATTTCTTTAAGACTAAATTATATAAACAGTTTATAAAATATTTTATATCACAGAAAAAAGTACGAATTTATATGGCAACCATAACTGTTACTGCTGGGTAGTATACAACAAAATTAATGATAATATAGGGCATGACATTCAAATATTGGAGGCAAACAAAAAAGTTTTTTTTTATATAACATTGAAATGTTCACATCAGTTATTAAACACTAAACACAATACACTATTACTACACAATAACAAAATAATATAACTGTCTACTTGTTTTTATTGTGTTAAAAATTTATGGTCATCTGAACATTTATAACTATAACTGTAAAAAATATATGATACATCTACTACACACAAAGTATATACATACAAAGCATGCAACAACATTTATTTTTTAATCATTATTGTTATTTTATATTTATGAATTTGTCACTTTTTAATTTGTAATGTACACAATATTAGGTATTTATACTGCCATATTCTTAATTGTATTATTATTATTATTTTTTTTTTTTATTAAATAAATAAGCCTCTTCGTCTATTTTTCATCCATTGGCATACAATCTAAAGATTCCTTAGATTTAGTATTTACATAAACAATTAACAGATCTATACAGTATTTATAAGATTGGTCTTGATTAAAAAATTCATCATGAGACTTGTCTGGGTGGAGAGCTTCCGACAGGATATTTGTTACCCCTAATTAAATTATTATTCAGGTAAATACTTATGCAATTTAATAGAATTATGTAAACGTAAGTTATGTTACGTAACATCATCATCTGTTATACGTGTATTGTGCATCCATTTAGTGCCCTGTGCCTATGTCAAAATAATTTTTTTATTTATTTTATTTTGTAACCAAACTGTTAAAATTAGATAAACATATAATATATACCATATAATATTTATTGATAAGTAGTTAACTAATGCTCTATACGAAATGTATTCCTAATTATAATTTTAACTATTTAAGTTAATAATAGATAAAAGTTATAAAAGTATACTATACATACCTATTATATTGTATCGATTTTAAATCAGCATAAAATATTTACCTAAGATAAGAGGTTACAGGATAAGTACTATACTATATAACCTATACTGGCTATACTAAATACTCTATTGCTGAATTTTCTAATATATAATATTATGTTTACCTAATTTAGACAGTTTTCCAGGTAATTTAAATATACAAAAAATGTTTGTGTTATAACGTGTTTATGACAGAAAGAGACAGCAACTATACGTTAACACAAACTTAATTAGAAACTTTAAAATGTATTAATCATTTTTATTAGTTCAGACATGCACAGAAACAATAATTACACACGTTATATTTGTCACATAAACGTATTTTATTATTTATATTAATATTACTATATTTATAATAAAAGTTGTATAATTTTAAATTATATACTTCACTAACACACGTATAATTTTTTATCGTATCCGTGCATGTAAGCCATATGTATAAAAAAATGCATACCTAAAATTTACCACGCTACATTCATTGATATTTTTAACAACATATGTTTTTAATGTGGATATTTCTCAGATAAATATTTTGTAAATTTGAGTATGATACTTGAATGTAGGTACCTATCCATATTTATTTTTAGTAAGACCTTATATACTTCGTTAGGAGAAAACAGTAGTATATTATAAATTATAACATAAACTATAATAACAAATTTACATTTTACACATATTTTATATCTCCGCAAGCTATATAATGATTTATTTTCG